ACAAAATTAATATTTTACCTGATTGTTGATGAATTAAATAACACATTATAAGAGACCCATGGGCCACAGTGCTTACCTTAGTCACCTTGGTCCTGCACATGTAGTGTTCTGGTTCTGAAGAATTTTTTAAAAATGTCCCTTTTTTCCCAATGAAAAATGACCCAATATTGTGGCCTCATCTTAGCCTAACTCTTTATAATTATATTAATTTTAACCCCAATAACATGTCCTGCTGTCCTTCCATCACACTTTGAACTTCATATGCTGATACATATAAATTATTAATGAGAGCTACTCAACAGCATGAACTTTTTTGACCTTGACCTCACTTTTCTTAAATTTTTCTTTAGTTCAGTTTCAAGAGCTATTTAAGATATTTTTTTCCAAACCTTATATATGTGCTGATACATATTGATGGGATCTATTCAATGTCATAATCATTATTTTACTTGACCTTTCCTTTGACCTTGACCTCACTTTCCTTAAATAAGTGAGTAGCTCAGTTTCAAAGAAACTATTCAAGAGATTTTGATTAATCTTCATATGCTTATACATATTGATAAGAGCTATTCAGTTGCATGAACATTTTTAATCTTGACTTTTTTTCAAATTTGTGTTAAGCTCAGTTTTAAAGAAATAATCATGATATTTTTATCAAACTTTATACACTGAAACATTTTGAAGAGTGTTTTTGAACTGCAACAACAATTGTTGACCATGACTTTCCCTTTGACCTTGATATCACTTTTTTTTTCTTATATAAGCACATAACTCACTTTCAACAAAATTATTCAAGATACTTTTATGTAAGCTCTGATACATAATTTGTTGAGAATTCATCAACTTTGTTCATTTTTTTTTTTTACCTTGACTGTCCCAATGACCTTTTCTTTCCTTTTATTGTATGCATTTATAAAACTAAGTTTTACAAAAAACAAACAAACAAACAAACAAACAAACAAAAAACTATTATAGATATCATCATCAAACTTCATACACAAATTTTCATGTTGCATTAATAATATACTATGGGTGGGGATTCATGTCCTATGGACAAACTTCTAGTTAGTAGTATATTCCCATGCAGATTTTTAATCCCATATTTTGGCTCCATCCTCTCAAAGGGGGTGTTAATTGAACATGAAACTATACTACATGTATGTAAGGGAACTTTCACATAAGTTTCAACTTTTCTGCCCAGTGGTTCTTGAATAGAAGATTTTCAAATGACACCACCAAACTTTAACTTTTTCTTAATTATCTCCCCTTGGCCCTTCATTTGAATGAATTTAAATCCTCTCCACCCAATACTGCCTTGTGATAAATTGGGTTGATTTCTGGACAAAAACTTTGGAAAGTTGAAAATTTAGAGACGACACACAACATTTATACATTACAGACAGATGCCAGACACCCTTTGATCAGAAAAATTCACTTGAGCCTTAGAGACTCAGGTGAGCTAAATTGTAAATAATTAATTATTAAGTAGATGTCTGTTTTAAACATATCAAAATAGTGTTAATCTAAATATAGCACCTACTAGATTATGTACATCCTAAAATTTATATTTTCTGCAGAATACATTAAAAAAAATCTCAATGTAAAAATTACATTTTCTTACCCCCCCTCCCCCCCCCCTTCTCCTGGGTAAATCTACCAATGTAATAAATAAATAATTTCTTAATTCTTTCTAACCATTACTGTCCTTTTTACCTCTGTGTCATCCATAATTCTTTGAGTGGAAAATCTTTTTCTTTCTTTACAACACTGATTTCTTTCTTTAAAACCTGCCTCTAAAAATCAAGACTCTTTGTTGATCCTAAAATTAAATGTGCAAATAATTCAAAAACTAAAGCATAATTTCTTTTTCTCATGGTGACTGAAGATTGAACAAAAAAATGTAGAATTTCTCATATTTAAGAATTTGTCAATTGACTCTTTTAATGCAGACCTGTTTACCCAAATTGTTGTCTCTCAGTATTTTTCATTAGATTTGTCAGTGAGATTTGGCATTTGCCAGTAAGATTTCATTTTTCATTGACTGTACATATATTACCAGAAAACAACTACATTTCTGATTACCAAAACATTGTTTAATAACAAAGCAAAACGTCATAGACTGCTCTCTTTTGAGTGATTTCTGTCATTTTTTAAACCACCGCGTTTGGGCACCTTAAATGTTTGAAAATTTTCTCTTCTTTAGCGATTAAAAAGCGTCAAACTGAGACAGATAACGAAAACTAATTGCTAAAATCCATATGAACGGATTTCCGTATTTTCGTTATAGCAAAACGTAAGACGTATTTTGGACTGAAAATCCGTACAAAATACGGCGAAATTGTAAGAGTAAACCGGTCTGTTAATGGCAGTGGCTGGAAAAACAGAAGTGAAATTTTTTTTTGTTCAAAAGGTTATTGATCAGTGTCTTTGGCATGATTGGAACAAATTTGAAACTACACTACCTGAGGACTTCCATATTTCTTTCACTATTCATGGCTTTAGAAAATTTTTATAGATTTTTTTCTCCTATAAGTGGGTACTTTCCTTGAGGCCCCACTCTACCCCCAGGAGTCATGATTTGAACAAATCTGAATCTATACTACCTAAGGATGCTTCTATATAAATATCACCAATCATTGCTTTGCTGATCTTGAGAAGAAAAATTTTAAAGATTTTTCCTATGTATTCTTTTGTAAAACTTTGATCATCCATTGTTGCCCCACCCTAACCCCTGGGGTCATGATTTAAACAAATCTGAATCTACACTATCTGAAGGTCTTTCCACACAAGTTTCATCTTTCCTGGCCCAGTGGTTCTTGAGAAGATTTTTAAAAGATGCCATTAATTTTTCACTAATTTGTAATTACCTCCCTTTAGAAAAAGGCATGGCCCTTCATTTGAACAAACTTGATTCCCCTTTACCCACGGATACTTTATGGCAAGTTTGGTTGAAATTGGCCCAGTAGCTCTTGATAAGAAGTCGAAAATGTGAAAAGTTTACAGACGGACAAAATGTGATCAGAAAAGCTCACTTGAGACCTTAGATCAGGTGAGCTAAAACCAAATCCAACACACGACTGTTACCTGATTGTGTTTAGTGATTTGTGCAGTTAACTGGTAGTTAATTGAACACACCGGGTAAAATGTAAAAATTAACAATAACATAGCTTTTGCTCATGTTAACAAACATAGGCTATGTTAACAAACATAGGGTCGCCTGCATGGCGCAGTGGTTAAAGCATTTGCTTTAGAGTCGTGGAGCAAGGAGTTGATCCATACGTTTGCGGGTTCGAATCCCATTGCGGGAGGTGGAGACGGGTCTTTCGGAATAGACCGTATAAACCTGTGTTGCAGTAGGTGCTGGCACGAAAAAGATCCCTGACTGCTCAATGACCCTGAGTGCCGAGTATAGGTCCATATCAGTGGAAAATTCTTGAGAGGAACTTTAAACAACAAACTTCAAAGACACAAACATAGGTGTTTGGTGCCATATTAAGAGAAATGTTTTGTTCCAATCATAGATAACTACATATTAAAATCAGCAAATCAAGACAAGTCATCAATAGTCAGACTTTCTACTGACAGTAAGACTCAATGTAAATGATTTACTGCAGAGAAAATTCAAGCTAAAACTGTAAAATACGAGCATATACTGATAGTAAAGATACATCTGTTAGTAAAGATATATCATATAATTTATCGCCACTTTATCTACATATGGAACATAAAATCACCATGCAATCTCCATCCCCTATACAGAGGTACAGAGATAATTCGAACTAGTTTCTTCGGAAGCCGTAGTTCAATTACAATATGCTGACAGCTGATTTCTGAGACATTTCCTTTATCGAATGAATGTAAATCACTTACTTGTACATTAATATCACAAAATCATCTTTACTTACCAGCATACCGCCTGACTTTCACTGGCACTGCCGCACTGTTGATACTAGCACATGGCCTTGAGTCACGTGATTATCTTCGGCAGACAAACGTTTCCTTTGTCAAGCGTCCAAATAATAATCTTACCTTTTCAAAATTGGTGAACGATTATAATTGTGCTGTGCATCAGAATCATACAAACGTTTGATTTTGTCAAGCGTCTAAATAATAATGTTGCATCTTTTCTGGTCGAGATTATTATTGTTGAACATTATAATCATTGTATGATCGATGTGGAATATAATTGTTATAATTTTGAGGCGAAATAAAAATAATGTGTACACATGGACAGGCATGATTATAATTATCAAGTAAGAATAATTATTCTAATTTTGAGGCGAAATAAAAATAATGTGTGCATGTAGACATCGACTGACAAGATTATTATTTGGAGGCGAAACATTATAATGTGTCCACATTGACTGGCAAGATTATAATTGTGAAGTGTGAATAATTATAATTTTAGGACAAAATAAAAATAATGTGTACACGTTTGACAGACAAGATTATAATTGTTGCAGGAAAAATAATAATGTTGTCAAAAAAGCAAGATTTTTATTTTTGGAAGAGATAATTATTTTTGGTATAATTATATAGGAAAAAATAATAATAATGTGGGGGTACCCTACGGCTTTCCATAGTATGCGACACATGCACTTTTTGATAAGTAGGTCAAATGTCAAAGTCAAGGGTCCGAGATTTGTAACCATGGCAATTTAGGAAAGCAATAGGTCCAAGCAATATAAATTATGTGCAAAATATGAAATCCATACCTCTTACAGTTCTCGAGATATAGGATGCGACAGACGGACAGACAGATAGACGTCGGGTTAAGTGATCCCTAAGTGCTGCTCTGTTCTGCAGGCGACACAAAAATGTACATTGCTAACACTGATATTCTAATAGATATTCGTACTTCAAACCGCAAGATACTAATTTTAGACTCTCACGTCACATTACATTGTATGTTTGTTGAACAAACAAACCAAGATCAAATCATTTCAGAAATTTATCAAATCATTAAAACGAGAACAAACATTTCTTTCTATATATCATAGATATGATCTGAATGCGGCCATGACTATACATGATAAATCTCCGAAGCCGCTCATACCTACTCCTGTAGAAATTGAAATAAAGAGTGGAAATGTGACCATTGATTCAGCTTGGATTGTCTTGAATTCTTCAAAGTTCTACCATGAAACAGTTCGTATTGCAGGTAAGACTGAGATTTATTGCCCCAATTTGGTCGTTCGCCTGTTACATAGTGTCAACCCTTACAAACTGAACGCATGAATTTAATCATGTATTGTAAACGGAGTATTTCTGTTTCATTGCATAACCTTTCAACCTACAATGTGGAAAACTGCAAAATATACATCACAATCAACCCTATTCTAGACTAAATTAACCCCAAATAGTTGTTGGACAACTAAAAAAACACTCTTGTGTAGACTTTGACTATACATATTTGATTCAAAGTTCAAATTCTTATTTCTATTTTAAACACGTTTCGGTATAGCATTTGAAATTTGAACATTATATTACATGTGTATTTTTGTTATAAATATGCCTTCTAGGTTTATTTAACATAAGCATCCAAGCTGACAAACCAAAAATAAAGTATATAGAAATAGTCAAGTCACATGGTCTAGATCTTTTGAGCCAATCTGAAACACAGAATGAGGCATATTCAATAGAAATAACTTCAGAAACCATACACATTTCTGCAACAACACGCATTGGAGCGTTTTATGCCTACCAGACCTTAAAAAGCTTAGCAACAGGTGGAAAATTACTGCCATTGGGTACCATAAAAGACCAGCCGAGGTTTGCATACAGGGGTATGCATTTGGATGTAGGACGGAATTTTCATACAAAGGCAACAGTTTTGAAGATTCTGGATACAATGGCTATGTACAAGTTGAACAAGTTTCACTTTCATTTGACAGAAGACGAAGGATGGAGGCTTGAGATTCCTGGACTTCCGGAATTAACAAAGGTAAAAAAAAATCAAATATAACTATTTCAAAAGTTTAATACCTGAATGATATCTTGTGTAGTGGAACATGAGTTGATCGAAACAGCACCAAGATCGATTTCACTCATACATGATTTTTGAGGCTCATGATTTTTATAAGGAGAATATTTATTTCTTTTTTATCCCAAAAAGTGATGAAATATGAAGATAACGAACACTTCAACAGTTATGAATCTCAAAGGTCCATTATATAATACCATATTGGAAGCTGAGCAAACACGGACCTCTTAAACATGAAAGGTGGGATCAGGTGCCGTGGAGGAGTAAGCATCCACTGTTGATTGGTCATAATCGCCGTGTGCTCCTTGTCATCGTTGGGAAAACGGAAAAACCCGCAGACAGTTCAGTATGAAAATAATGGCCTAACAATTTGTATGAAAAACGATTCTCTATTATCAGAGGATCGTTGGACCTTAAGATACGAAATATATCTATAGAAAAAATATATATTTTATTAGGTAGGATCTAAACGGTGTCATGACCTAAAGGAGGATAAATGCCTTATGCCCCAGTTAGGTTCCGGGTCTTCGGAAGGCGGTATTGGTTCTGGATTTTACACAGTTGAGGATTACAAAGAAATTTTGCGATATGCCAATGACCGTCATATTCAAGTTATTCCGGAATTCGATATGCCAGGTCATTGTCGAGCAGGAATTAAAGCAATGGAGGCAAAATTCCAGAAATATCTGAGTTACGGAAACGAAACAGCAGCACGAGAATATCTAATGACAGATTTCTCCGATAACACTCACTACCTCACTGTTCAGTGGTTTACAGACAATGCAATCAACATATGTATGGAATCAACAGAAACTTTCATACGATACCTTATAGATTCCATAATCAATCTACATAAAGATATACAACCGTTGGAAATATATCATTTCGGAGGTATGACTTTTAGAACGTTAATAAATTATTGAATTGTTTTAAAAGACCGGGCAATTTAACTGTATTAATTACATGACCTTAAGGGAATAACGAATTAATTATCTGATTATTCAATATTCTACTTTTTCTTTTACATGGAGAGCATATTATATGTTGAAACATATCACCGTTAATCGATTTTTATGTTCTGTATATCCTTTACTTGTATATCAGTAACAGAAACTAAATTACAAAAAAGATATTCTGTTGATGGGCACTACTATGCTTCTAGGAAATTTGACAAATGAATACATGTAAATAGGCTTCAGTTAGAGTGCTCCCCCTCTAACGCTGCAACAGCATTTGCAAAAACAAGCTTTTTTGTATGTAGGTGACGAGGTAGCTGGTGCTTGGATTGAGTCACCCGAGTGCCGAGAATTTCTCAAAAGGAAGGGCCTTCATAAAACGACGGAACTTAAAAAATATTTTGCCCAATCCATGGCTAAAATGACGGACGTCAAAGGTCTTCAAGTGGCTGCTTGGGCGGATGGTTTGATGATAGAAGGACAGACACCTTATAATATCAGCGACTTTCCTACTAAGCAGTAAGTTTAACGGCTTTATTACAAATATTAATTCTATTGTACTTCTAATGACATTGTTTGTTACATAACCTATCATTGGGACGTATTTAATCTCTGACGTATTTCATACCATTTGTTAAGTCATTGCTTTTACACTAAATTTAACTACAGAGTACACCGTCTACGTGATCAATACAAAGGGCTCACAGCGGGTGAAGCTGGTTTACAGGGTATACTTACTCCTCCTAGGCACCTAATCCTATCTTTAATGTTTTTTGCCCTGTTCACGATTCATTTTGCTTACTGGTTTTACGAGATTGATCACCATTTGTTATCTTCACATTTTACATTCAGTTCATTAATAATCATCAAAAAAATTCTTATAATTTTTGTTTTTCTTTTAAAGTTACACGGTAGAAGGTTTTGTTGTTCTAAGAGGTCTGCTCTGTTTGCTCTGTTCTCAAATTATATGCATATATAGGACTTAAGAACATGAATTCATACTCTTCTTAATCTTCACCTTGAAAATCTTTTTTATCTGTTTTAGGTTAACTTTTACATTTAAATTACATCGATTAAGCTGCTACCTAACAAAATGATGTTTGTTGTTTTTATTTATTTATTTAATGCAACACAATCCAGTTTGTCTTTTACCTCTAATATGAGTTGATTACAATATTAATAACAATATTAATTGTTAATAAACATTTTGGAAATAAGCTTTTACCTCATTTTCTGCGGTTAACATTCAGACTCTTTAAATCAATTCAGAACTTTCAATGTCAGTTGATAAGATGTAATGTTTCAATTTCAGGAGCATCATCGCATATAACTGGGATAATCTTTGGGAGAGAGGTCACGGAGATAAGGCATATAAATTAGCCAACGCTGGCTACAAGGTAAAATGTATTAAATAAATTGAAAAAAAATATTTTCTTTTTCACCCTCAAAATTATCACTAGTTTTTTGATTTGCTAGCAATACGGCCGTTGTTCCACAAAAAAGAATTTTTATATTCTCATGACAGGTTGTTTTATCTCATGCAACTCACCTGTATTTTGACCATCCACAAGAACCCGATCCATCGGAGAGAGGGTACTACTGGGCAACACGATTTACTGACACTCGGAAGACCTTTGGTTACATCCCTAGCAACATTTCCTATAATGCAGATAAAGCTCGAGATGGACACCCCTTGACGGAGGAAGAGATTTGTCCCAACAACAGTTGCTTTAAGTTGGAGAAACCCGAGAACATTATAGGTTTGTCTATTAAATGTTTTATTATTCAAATTGAGAAATCAGAAAAAAGGGTTTTATTTATCATAGGCAATTGTTATTTTTTTTAAACTCTGGAATAGAAATGATTTTAAAAATACCTCTCACACTTTAAAGGAAAAAAATCATAGACTTAAAGTAAAGAGATTTCAAATCTTTTGATAGAATTTCACAATTAACATGCTAAATGAGCGTTTCAGACCGATATACTTTGGAATCATTATTGTTCGTGAGGGATCAATGGATTTCGTGGGCAACCCTTACCCATAAATTTTCATCCCCAAATTCGAAATTACGTCATCACGAACTAATAAAAGATAAAAGTTTGGTACCAAGAAACATTGACTCCCTCGAATAATGGTTATTTTACAGTATCATAAAATCGTGTTATGAAAGCAAAATAAATCAACACTAAGAGTGTTTTATTTATCGTATACAAGTATCCTGGCACTTTCAGGAACTAAAATATATTCTTAATATTGAAAAAAGTTTTAAAATTGTGATATTTAAATATAAGCAAGGAATAAATAATAAAAAAGTAAGAAAGCAAAACCAGTAACCAACACACCGATGTTGTCTGCCCGTGTTCAGTGGTATGTGTGGCATTAGCAAATCAGACATATGGGAAAAAATAACAGAGCTACATGTGCATATAAGTGTGTTTTAAACACAGGTGTTTATTATAAGGTTCTGAACAACAGTTTTATTTTAATATTAAGGCTTGTCATCATGTAATTATTTTCTCAAGTGAGAATTTATTGTTACAATGAAAAACAAAACAAAACGAGCTGTATATGCAAGTATGTCCCTGCACCTTTAAAGTATTATAAAACCTAAATGTGTAAGCAATGTGTCAAGTAAAATTTATGCTTAATGCACACTGTTTGATCTTTCAGGCGTACAAGGTCAAATATGGACTGAGACAATTCGGACTGAGCAGCAGCTACAGGAAATGTTGTTTCCTCGAATGCTAGCTCTTGCAGAACTAGCGTGGCATAAATCAACATGGGAAGAGATCCCAAATAAACAGGAGCGGATCCAAAGAACAAACGAAGAGTGGACATCATTTGCAAGTGCTTTGGTTGAGAAAGAACTGTCAAGGTTGGAAAACAATGGGATTAAATACAGAATTCCTGTTCCTGGAGCAAGGTAAAACTTATTCGTTGTTATTTTTTGTTTATTGACAGCCATTTTTTTGACACAGTAATATACAGCAATACTTTCATCAAGCAAACAATCTATCGACCCTTAATTCATTGAAAACTGAGAACAAAATAATGAAAATATATTTTATTGAAAAAAAGTCCTTTCAAATATGATTTAAAAGTTAGAATGACATTTTGATATCCTGATAGTTTTTCAGAAATATTAATTCACTGAATATTACAGTTTTACAAAGCAAACACTAGCAAATCCGTTTTTTTTACATTCTTACCTTAAAACATTCAATAACATACTCAAATGTATAAAAACAGTTATCAGTATTTTTTTCAAAATAAGAATATATAAGTAACGCGGAATTTTACTATACACCATGATATAATGACCCCCTTTAAAAAAAATAACTTATTTTATTCAGATTAGACGGAAATAAATTACTGCTTAATACAGCCCTTCCAGGACTAAAGTTTCAATATAGTGATGATAATGTAATATGGAAACCTATAATTTCCGGCACGAAGATTGACGGGGCAACAACCCGAATATACTTGAGAACAAGGTAAAATATATGGAGAATCTAGCAAAATGCGTAAGAAAACATAGTTAAAGTGCCCGGTCAACTATGAGTATGTTATATATTCTTTGATTCGCTTCGACATCCTTATACTTTACAACGACAATAAATGATAAATTAAAACTTATTAACGATAAATTCATTTTAGATCTTAATTGCCATTTAGGAACAACATTGAAATACTTATTTTATAATACATGTATATGTAATTCAGGCTATCACGTTTTGCTATAAAACATCGAAAAGAACTTTTTTATGGTCACCATAGATTAAAATTGAAGTTTAAAGAAAAAAGAGGCAACACTATTAATAGGCTACTTTTTTCTTTTTTCTAACTCTCCAATTTTCCTTTTCATTATTCCCCCTTGCCTTTTTTATGTCTATCCTTCGTCTTCTCTACCTCTTCTGAGCCCCAGTTCCCTCCCTCCATATTCTATTTCCGTTAAGTGGTCTTTCTGCGCATGCACAATATTTATAGGATTAAGATATACAATCAAATTTTCAAAAAGTAGTCATTGTACTATTCTATTCTATTATTTTCCAGGTCTGTGGATGGCAGCCGGTACAGTCGAACGATAACCATGAATATAGCCATGTCAAAATCAGACTCAAGCAAGCTACACACCACAACTATCTTTATTACTTTATTTGCGTTCATGGGTGTGAGACTGTGGTATCAGGCCTGTCATAGCCTAAAATAATAACTTTGACGATCTTGATTTCAGCATACACATGATCCTTCATTTTTATGAGAATAACCAGGATTACTGTTCTTGGAAATTGAAATGATTTTCAATGATCCTTTTTTGTCTATATTTATGCAATTATACAAGAAGCCAATCTCGCACTTTTGCTTTATACTAACAATAAGGGCAATAATGGGAAAAATAATGTATGTTAGTAGGGAATGTTTGCAATGTATTAAGTTGAAAAAAAAGTTTAATTATATTATTGTTCATTATCATGAGGAGGAGGAGGAGCATTATTTGAATAATTCTGAATGCGTGCATTTGAATATGAATAATCATGAATAATCACAACCCTGTTTTTGATTTATAAAGATTTTTACATTACATAAGCCGATATTAAATGTAAATTACTTACTGAAACAATCCGTATCCATTGGAACTATAATATAAACTTGAATTTTTCAAGTCTTTAATAAACTTTTTCTTGTCAAGTGGTTTTTGAGAAGTCAAAGGGTTCTTGAGATTTTTAAAAAAATTTTTTTTTTACCTTTTCTTCGTTATCCATTTTAGAGGGGGTGTCCTGTCATCAGAAATATTAGTTCCATTCCTTTAAGGTAATCCTGGGAGGGTTTGTCATAGGAAAAAAAACAATAACAATGGACTAAAATTTAGGAGAAGACTACTGAAAGAATTTAACAGAATATAAGTATTAGCCATGGTCATAGCATTTAGCAAATCAAAATTCAGTTGAAAGAATTATGTGTTTCAGTGTAGTCTACTTGTGTAAAAAATATTTCACAGAAGATTCTAATTTAAGTTGCCATGATAACACCGTTTGTCAAGATTATAAACTGGTATACAGACTGATATGGATTAAATTTTTTTTACTAAAATCAGACTACAGCTGTAAGAAGAGTAGTAGTTTTGAATGAATTTTGAACGGAAATTTATACTTTTAGAGGGGAATATTAGGCCTAAAGACTTAAACGATTGCTTAGAATTGCGTGAACATGAAATTAGAATATGTATACAAAGGCATGCACGAAGTCATGACACCCTAAATGGTAGTTAAATGTGCAAATGTTTCGATGAGCTCAATTTCAGTAACAGGAGGGCTATTAAAAAGGCTGTGGTGAATTTGTTGTTGAGGAAATAGTCAAGATTGAGAAGTCATGGCTAGTAAAATTTTGAGATGGCAGCTATATTTGCGGAGAGATTAATTGAGAACCATGTGCATTGTTTTGGTGCGTAATAAATGATTGAACATTTTCTATTCAAAGGAGAGGTCTTCATCTCTCTAGTTATGTATCCGATTTTTTTCGATTTGCAGTTGTTTGCAATTTGCCTTAAAGAAAGCTCTACCTGAAACTGGTCGACTCTAAGGCACATTGAGATAGAAACTAATTAGAACAATGTAACAACCCTAATTATCTATGCTGCATTGTATTAAAGTCATGAATTATCTAAATATCTTTAAATTTGTGTGATATACGTAATCATTGCAATGAAATTAAACAGAAGACATGAGCGATTTTAATGATACTATGAATAGTTGATTTCCCCGTAACAGTTTGGAAAAAAAAATCATTTTTTCCCTGTAAAACACATAGTGTATTTACCTCAAAGCGTCCAGACATTTACGCGTCTTTTGACCACATAAAAATTGTGTTCAAAAAGAACAAATGATGCAAATATCAAAATTAAGATATTTAAAAATAATTATAAACAAACTATCCATCAATACATTTTCAACAAATCATGCATGACGGATTATTTGGTTGGTTTGTAGTTAGATTTTTATTAAAAATGAAAATTAACACCCAGCTTTGCATGATAAAAAAAGGACCATAAGAAGGAATTTATTTCATATTGTTGATTTCGAATTTTCATAATTATGCTTTAAGGAATGTAGAAGTGTTTTTTGAATAGGCTTAGATTCGCACATTTTTTTTATGTAATTGTCCAACTTGATATCATATTGAATGTTTACCATTGTGATAATACGAAAAATATTTTAAACTCTCTAGCACACTTTAAAAAAAAAAAAATAAAAAAAATAAGCTTTATTGATATGAGTCCGGATATTGTCAACACAAACACTCCTTTGTATAATGTTCGCCTTATTATGACCAGATAAACAACAAAATAAATCTGCTTTATACATCTTTGTTTAAAGACGACGATATATAGCAATAGCAATCAACGTTTAAAATTTTTTATTACACGGTATTAATGTTTTGGCTCTTCTTAACAGATTTTGTATCCTGTTTTGTATGTCGTAATACTGCAGGAAGAGGCACGGTTGTTGGTTAAGTGAAAGGAAATAAACAATTGAATTGTATCGTTCATGTTGTAAGAACTACGCAAGGTAACTCCCGATTCCCGCCTACATTTTACAACCATTTAATTCAATATTGATGACAATTTGGCCATAAAATCTTTGTTTAATACAAAGAACAGTTCAATGGTAATTGATTAATTATTTTAATTCCAGTGCTAAATAGTAAAATATCCCTAATTCCAGCTCTTGAAATAAGCGGGGTTGACGATATTTTCCACTGAAATCGGGCTATAAAGCATCACCATATTCTGAAATAGTCTTGGATATGAATAAATGTTTCTTAAATCTTTTCTTATGTTTTATGCACATAAAATTAAGCATACAGTACCGACCGGACACAACCTAACACCAGAGCGAACCCAAAGCGCACCCCGGGTCCGCTCGGGATCCGCTGCGGGTTCGCTTTCAGAAAATTTGGGACCGCTCTGGGTGCACGTCGGGTTCGCTCTGCGTTCGCTCGGGGTCAGCTCTGCATGGGTCCGCTAGAGCGAACCCGGCGTTCGCTTTCCGGGTTCGCTTTACGCACTCATGCGTGAAGCGGACCCCGCTTTAATCTTGCCGCGAGTAAGCCCCGCCCCTTGTATATTCCAAATATAGCAGTGAAATCGATCATCACTGTTTTTATGGCGATCGAAACATGTACATGTAAGTGACAATATGGAGAACGTTGATAATTTTCAAGAATTTCGCCGTACATTCGACGTAGAATTATCACTTTTATTTTTCTTAACTTACAAGCTAAGTATACGAGGGTTGTCCAAAAAGTTCGTGGACAATGGCATTTTTGTCAAAATGAATGGTTCAAGATATGCTTATTGTATACCAAAATATTAGTCATGAAAATCCAAGTCGGAATAGTTTGGTTTTTATTGTTTGAACTTAATATTTTTGTAAAAATCTCGGTCATTAAAAGTCGCCGATAGTGCGCACGGACCAGGGTTAAAATGCCATGAACTTTTAAATAAAGTGATCTGATTGAAATGATTATTTTCTTTTTAAAACGATTCAAAGCTGAATAAAAAATTAATATATCACAAATAAAGCGGTTATCGCTATTTTCTGATACCTTTAGTATCGCTTACTGAATAGACAATGAAAATATTAAGTGAAAACCGCAAGAAGTATGTTTCAAAAATTGACAGAAAAAGCGACGTCGGCCATCCGAACGGGACAGCGTCCAATCATACAATTATGGTAAATATGGTTGAAACGTCGTCTAAAACAAAATATTTATTCAAACAACTTAAATTTATTGGAAATATTTAGTCTAGTGATTTGTAATTGGTGTATACGATTTTTCAACGGTGTGTAAAATTTCGGAGACACTACAAGAAGTGGAAAACTACTGTTATTTGATGAAAATAGGATATATTCCTATTCATGACGTTGTTATAAATATAGCGCCGTCGGGCTGGGCTGTGCATCCTGTGTTTACGAAGTGTTAAAATATTAATGACGCTCGTAAATTATTGTGTATTGTTTTGAATTTTAAAATTTAAATTGATTATAATCTATGCATAAATATTATTGCACACATTTGGCAATGTGGCATAATAAAGACAAATAGCGTGCGTCTATGAACATGCGATCAAAATTCAAAATTCATATTTCTGACGTTATCATGAAAAAAAGCGTTAAGTCAGACTGGCCCGTGCGACTTGCATATACAAAGAATTTACACCTATAATGTTCAGTAAATAGTGTGTATTGTTTTAATTTTTTGTACATTTACTCAATCATGGTCTATATTAAGATATTATCGTAAATGTTTGCCATTGCGGACTTAATAAAGAAAATTAAGCATTTGTCCACGAACTTTTTGGACAACCCTCGTATCTCGAAAAAAAAAAAGGTGTTAAATTTATTTTCGATGTATCGGATGGATTGAAATTGATAAGAATATCTTAATAAAAAAGCTTTCAAATTCATTTGTTTATATTATTCATGCGTTTTAAAATAAGTTGGAACTTGCAATTGTAATTGCAATTGCTAAATCGTAATTTAAATGTTTGAAAGACAAATAACTGAATTACGATCTTATCTATAAAATAGCTGTGACATACTGTACACGTAAAATGCTAAGTTTTCATATTTAGCAGTTTATATTTAAGCTAGGTTGTCGTCCATTACATGTATATGTAGGTCGTGATAATCACTAAAAATTCTCATACAGTGTAACTTGAGTTTCTTTTACAGATCATTTATAATTTACTTCTATGCTATAAATCATTGTTTTATAAGGCGAGTTTAACGGAAGACTTATGAAAAAACAACAACAACAACAATCAAAAAACCAGAACAAACAAACAAAAACTAATAACTGGTCCACTGATAAGAATATATTATTTTTTTTTAAGTTGTTTTCAAATACTTGTAAATGATCACTTGAATAGTTTGTGTTCCTTACTGGTTCATGATCCCCCCCCCCCCCCACTACATACATGTACATACTGGAGCGGCATGTTAACAAACAAAATTCTAATGTTTAAAAATAAATAAATACAAGAAAGAAAACAAACAAAACAAGAATTCAATAACTGTAAACTCGCATGATTAAGTAGATGAAATTAAGATAATAACACCCGATGTTTTTTTTTTTTTTTTATTGTTTTATTTCGATGAGCCCCCACCCCCACCCCACCCCACCCCTCTCCGTACTTGAATTGTTTTCTATGGGCCGGTTGTATCGATTTTCATTTCAAATAATATACAGTGTTCTCTCTCTCTCGTAAAGCTATTTTACTGATTTTCAGCATTCAGATGGCAGCAAATTACATGCATTGAACATGTACTCTTAATGCAACGTACCAAAGAACTATGACGTTTCCAAATTCAAAAATAAAAAAAATTAGAATAATAATTGGATTTCTCATTGATAACGTGCCCAGACGAGGTACATGTAACTTAAGAGGCATCGAATGTACGGGGAGTATATACTCAGGTATACCGTGACCATGGAGACAGTATACATCCAGCTAGTAAGTGTCAATTAAAAAACCCCACAGCAATTGCTCTTAATACCCGCAATATTTTCGAAACAGGTGGATGATTACCGATACGTGATGACCTTGGCTTCACTTTGAAACTACAGTTATTAAAGTGTTGAAATTAAATAATTATGACAAATACAGGTACCCATGTAATGAAAAAATATATGTAAGTTTTCGTATTAAGGTATCTTAGCAAGTTAAATTTAGTAATGTTGGAATTACGTGTACTTTTCATGCACAAGTACAAAACGTACTCGTCTAGTCTATTTCTTATGTTCATATAAAGTATTTCGAAAATTACATGTAAGAGGTTCGTGAATATGTAAACCTGTATAATTATATATATCGACGCGAAGGAAAGTGATAAGCATTTTTGCGTTTTTTTTTTTGTTTTTTTTTTTGACTGACTTGCAAGTAGTTACAAAAATTCAAAAACATACAATGTA